TGGCTGGTGGAGGCCTGGGTGTAGTGGTGTGGCAGGTGGAGGCCCGGGTGTAGTGGTGTGGCAGGTGGAGGCCTGGGTGTAGTGGTGTGACTGGTGGAGGCCTGGGTGTAGTGGTGTGGCAGGTGGAGGCCTGGGTGTAGTGGTGTGGCAGGTGGAGGCCTGGGTGTAGAGGTGTGGCTGGTGGAGGCCTGGGTGTAGTGGTGTGGCAGGTGGAGGCCTGGGTGTAGTGGTGTGGCAGGTGGAAGCCTGGGTGTAGAGGTGTGGCTGGTGGAGGCCTGGGTGTAGAGGTGTGGCTGCTGGAGGCCTGGGTGTAGAGGTATGGCTGGTGGAGGCCTGGGTGTAGAGGTGTGGCTGGTGGAGGCCTGGGTGTAGTGGTGTGACTTCTGGAGGCCTGGGTGTAGAGGTGTGGCTGGTGGAGGCCTGGGTGTAGTGGTGTGGCAGGTGGAGGCCTGGGTGTAGAGGTGTGGCAGGTGGAGGCCTGGGTGTAGTGGTGTGGCAGGTGGAGGCCTGGGTGTAGTGGTGTGGCAGGTGGAGGCCTGGGTGTAGAGGTGTGGCTGGTGGAGGCCTGGGTGCAGAGGTGTGGCTGGTGGAGGCCTGGGTGTAGTGGTGTGGCTGGTGGAGGCCTGGGTGTAGTGGTGTGGCTGGTGGAGGCCTGGGTGTGGTGGTGTGGCAGGTGGAGGCCTGGGTGTGGTGGTGTGGCTGGTGGAGGCCTGGGTGTAGAGGTGTGGCTGGTGGAGGCCTGGGTGTAGAGGTGTGGCTGGTGGAGGCCTGGGTGTACTGGTGTGGCAGGTGGAGGCCTGGGTGTAGTGGTGTGGCTGGTGGAGGCCTGGGTGTAGAGGTGTGGCAGGTGGAGGCCTGGGTGTAATGGTGTGGCAGGTGGAGGCCTGGGTGTAATGGTGTGGCAGGTGGAGGCCTGGGTGTAGAGGTGTGGCTGGTGGAGGCCTGGGTGTAATGGTGTGGCAGGTGGAGGCCTGGGTGTAGTGGTGTGGCTGGTGGAGGCCTGGGTGTAGAGGTGTGGCTGGTGGAGGCCTGGGTGTAATGGTGTGGCAGGTGGAGGCCTGGGTGTAGAGGTGTGGCTGGTGGAGGCTTGGGTGTAGAGGTGTGGCTGGTGGAGGCCTGGGTGTAGTGGTGTGACTGGTGGAGGCCTGGGTGTAGAGGTGTGGCAGGTGGAGGCCTGGGTGTAGTGGTGTGGCAGGTGGAGGCCTGGGTGTAGAGGTGTGGCTGGTGGAGGCCTGGGTGTAGAGGTGTGGCTGGTGGAGGCCTCGGTGTAATGGTGTGGCAGGTGGAGGCCTGGGTGTAGTGGTGTGACTGGTGGAAGCCAGGGTGTAGTGGTGTGGCTGGTGGAGGCCTGGGTGTAGTGGTGTGGCTGGTGGAGGCCTGGGTGTAGTGGTGTGACTGGTGGAGGCCTGGGTGTGGTGGTGTGGCTGGTGGAGGCCTGGGTGTAGAGGTGTGGCTGGTGGAGGCCTGGGTGTAGTGGTGTGACTGGTGGAGGCCTGGGTGTGGTGGTGTGGCTGGTGGAGGCCTGGGTGTGGTGGTGTGGCTGGTGGAGGCCTGGGTGTGGTGGTGTGGCTGGTGGAAGCCTGGGTGTAGAGGTGTGGCTGGTGGAGGCCTGGGTGTAGAGGTGTGGCTGGTGGAGGCCTGGGTGTAGTGGTGAGACTGGTGGAGGCCTGGGTGTAGTGGTGTGACTGGTGGAGGCCTGGGTGTAGTGGTGTGGCTGGTGGAGGCCTGGGTGTAGTGGTGTGGCTGGTGGAGGCCTGGGTGTAGTGGTGTGGCTGGTGGAGGCCTGGGTGTAGAGGTGTGGCTGGTGGAGGCCTGGGTGTAGTGGTGGGCTGGTGGAGACCTGGGTGTAGTGGTGTGGCTGGTGGAGGCCTGGGTGTAGTGGTGTGGCTGGTGGAGGCCTGGGTGTGGTGGTGTGGCTGGTGGAGGCCTGGGTGTGGTGGTGTGGCTGGTGGAGGCCTGGGTGTAGTGGTGTGGCTGGTGGAGGCCTGGGTGTAGAGGTGTGGCTGGTGGAGGCCTGGGTGTAGTGGTGGGCTGGTGGAGACCTGGGTGTAGTGGTGTGGCTGGTGGAGGCCTGGGTGTTGTGGTGTGACTGGTGGAGGCCTGGGTGTAGTGGTGTGGCTGGTGGAGGCCTGGGTGTAGTGGTGTGGCTGGTGGAGGCCTGGGTGTAGTGGTGTGGCTGGTGGAGGCCTGGGTGTAGTGGTGTGGCTGGTGGAGGCCTGGGTGTAGTGGTGTGGCTGGTGGAGGCCTGGGTGTAGTGGTGTGGCTGGTGGAGGCCTGGGTGTAGAGGTGGGCTGGTGGAGGCCTGGGTGTAGTGGTGTGACTGGTGGAGGCCTGGGTGTAGTGGTGTGGCTGGTGGAGGCCTGGGTGTAGTGGTGTGACTGGTGGAGGCCTGGGTGTAGTGGTGTGGCAGGTGGAGGCCTGGGTGTAGTGGTGTGGCAGGTGGAGGCCTGGGTGTAGAGGTGTGGCTGGTGGAGGCCTGGGTGTAGTGGTGTGACTGGTGGAGGCATGGGTGTAGAGGTGGGCTGGTGGAGGCCTGGGTGTAGTGGTGTGGCTGGTGGAGGCCTGGTTGTAGTGGTGTGACTGGTGGAGGCCTGGGTGTAGTGGTGTGGCTGGTGGAGACCTGGGTGTAGTGGTGTGGCAGGTGGAGGCCTGGGTGTAGTGGTGGGCTGGTGGAGACCTGGGTGTAGAGGTGTGGCTGGCGGAGGCCTGGGTGTAGTGGTGTGGCTGGTGGAGGCCTGGGTGTAGTGGTGTGGCTGGTGGAGGCCTGGGTGTAGAGGTGGGCTGGTGGAGGCCTGGGTGTAGTGGTGTGGCTGGTGGAGGCCTGGGTGTAGTGGTGTGGCAGGTGGAAGCCTGGGTGTAGTGGTGTGACTGGTGGAGGCATGGGTGTAGAGGTGGGCTGGTGGAGGCCTGGGTGTAATGGTGTGGCTGGTGGAGGCCTGGGTGTAGTGGTGTGGCAGGTGGAGGCCTGGGTGTAGAGGTGTGGCTGGTGGAGGCCTGGGTGTAGTGGTGTGACTGGTGGAGGCATGGGTGTAGAGGAGGGCTGGTGGAGGCCTGGGTGTAGTGGTGTGGCTGGTGGAGGCCTGGGTGTAGTGGTGTGACTGGTGGAGGCCTGGGTGTACTGGTGTGGCTGGTGGAGGCCTGGGTGTAGTGGTGTGGCAGGTGGAGGCCTGGGTGTAGTGGTGGGCTGGTGGAGACCTGGGTGTAGAGGTGTGGCTGGCGGAGGCCTGGGTGTAGTGGTGTGGCTGGTGGAGGCCTGGGTGTAGTGGTGTGGCTGGTGGAGGCCTGGGTGTAGTGGTGTGGCAGGTGGAGGCCTGGGTGTAGTGGTGTGACTGGTGGAGGCATGGGTGTAGAGGTGGGCTGGTGGAGGCCTGGGTGTAGTGGTGTGGCTGGTGGAGGCCTGGGTGTAGAGGTGGGCTGGTGGAGGCCTGGGTGTAGAGGTGGGCTGGTGGAGGCCTGGGTGTGGTGGTGTGGCTGGTGGAGGCCTGGGTGTTGTGGTGTGGCAGATGGAGGCCTGGGTGTAGTGGTGTGGCTGGTGGAGGCCTGGGTGTAGTGGTGGGCTGGTGGAGACCTGGGTGTAGTGGTGTGGCTGGTGGAGGCCTGGGTGTAGTGGTGTGGCTGGTGGAGGCCTGGGTGTAGTGGTGTGGCTGGTGGAGGCCTGGGTGTAGTGGTGTGACTGGTGGAGGCCTGGGTGTAGTGGTGTGGCTGGTGGAGGCCTGGGTGTAGTGGTGTGGCTGGTGGAGGCCTGGGTGTAGTGGTGTGACTGGTGGAGGCCTGGGTGTAGAGGTGTGGCTGGTGGAGGCCTGGGTGTAGTGGTGTGGCAGGTGGAGGCCTGGGTGTAGTTGTGTGGCTGGTGGAGGCCTGGGTGTAGAGGTGGGCTGGTGGAGGCCTGGGTGTAGAGGTGTGGCAGGTGGAGGCCTGGGTGTAGAGGTGTGGCAGGTGGAGGCCTGGGTGTAGAGGTGTGGCAGGTGGAGGCCTGGGTGTAGTGGTGTGGCCGGTGGAGACCTGGGTGTAGTGGTGGGCTGGTGGAGACCTGGGTGTAGTGGTGTGGCTGGTGGAGACCTGGGTGTAGTGGTGTGGCTGGTGGAGGCCTGGGTGTAGTGGTGGGCTGGTGGAGGCCTGGGTGTAGAGGTGTGGCTGGTGGAGGCCTGGGTGTAGTGGTGTGGCTGGTGGAGGCCTGGGTGTGGTGGTGTGGCTGGTGGAGGCATGGGTGTAGAGGTGTGACAGGTGGAGGCATGGGTTTGGTGGTGTGGCTGGTGGAGGCCTGGTTATGGTGGTGTGGCTGGTGGAGGCCTGGGTGTAGTGGTGTGGCTGGTGGAGGCCTGGGTGTGGTGGTGTGGCTGGTGGAGGCCTGGGTGTAGTGGTGTGGCTGGTGGAGGCCTGGGTGTAGTGGTGTGGCTGGTGGAGGCCTGGGTGTGGTGGTGTGACTGGTGGAGGCCTGGGTGTAGTGGTGTGGCTGGTGGAGGCCTAGGTGTGGTGGTGTGACTAGTGGAGGCCTGGGTGTAGTGGTGTGACTGGTGGAGGCCTGGGTGTAGTGGTGTGACTGGTGGAGGCCTGGGTGTGGTGGTGTGGCTGGTGGAGGCCTGGGTGTGGTGGTGTGGCTGGTGGAGGCCTGGGTGTGGTGGTGTGGCTGGTGGAGGCCTGGGTGTGGTGGTGTGGCTGGTGGAGGCCTGGGTGTGGTGGTGTGGCTGGTGGAGGCCTGGGTGTGGTGGTGTGGCTGGTGGAGGCCTGGGTGTGGTGGTGTGGCAGGTGGAGGCCTGGGTGTGGTGGTGTGGCAGGTGGAGGCCTGGGTGTGGTGGTGAGGCTGGTGGAGGCCTGGGTGTTGAGGTGTGATGCAATGTGTGGTAGTGTGGTTGATGCAGTGTGGTAGTGTGGTTGATGCAATGTGTGGTAGTGTGGTTGATGCAGTGTGGTAGTGTGGTTTACACAGGACGTGGTAGAGTGAGTGAGGCGGGGTGTGACACTTGGTGACACGGGATGTGGTAGTGTGGTTGAGGCCGCACCTTCTCCTTTGCTTGGGTCACTTCTCCCTCGAGGGGCTGGGTCTCGCTGACGGCCTGGGCCCGGCGCCCCAGCGTGTTCATCATCACGGCCATCACGTTCTCGTGAACACACAAGATGCGGATCAGGTCCGGGTGTTGGAAGAAGATGTGGTTGTTGACCAGAGTCCTGCAAGAAGCAACTTCCCCTTTATCTTGTGTCTTTACCGTCATACACTTCAATAAAATAAACGCAATTAATTATGAATTTAAACACAAAAGCTGTTTTTTTCTTAAGATAACATTTCGCGCTGAATATATCACTATAAGAGGTTCTTAAAATAGAGAATGTATATTATAAGCACAGAAAAGAACAGAAGAAACTGTAGAAGATTTATTTTCCAATGAGACATTTCTACTTTATGCCCAGTCAAAGTTTCTCATATATTTATGTAAGCTTCAGTTGACACAATCCAGAGATTCCTTGTCAATTGTATTTCCGGACAACATGTTTCATGAAGCAAAACTGTATTTCTTAACCAGTATTTATTATGCAGCAACACTGTCTACATCATCTACCAGAATCAATAATTCAATCCGTTCTCGCACTTGCTTTAGTCAATATTGGCTTATTTAATAAGTGCATATGTGACATACTAATTGATTGTGAATATTTTAGTTTACCTTGAAAAGCTTCATAGAAAACACTGACCTCACCTAACCTTCTTAGTATGTTAAGATAAGCATCTTATTGCTTCTTAATTACAATTATTACTTAACCTATACCGTTGATAGGTTAAGTAATAATTGTAAATAAGAAGCAATAAGATGCTAATCTTAAAATACTAAGAAGATTAGGTGAGGTCGGTGTTTTCTATGAAGCTTTTCAAGGTAAACTAAAATATTCACAATCAATTAGTATGTCACATATGCACTTATTAAATAAGCTAATATTGACTATAAGCAAGTGCGAGAACGGGTTGAATAATTGAGTCTACTACTACAGGTGAAGCTGGCAGGGAGTGAACTGGTTGTCTCTTGTCAAGTGGAGACCCACTACTCGGTGCTTGTGGGCGCTGTCACATACTTATTTGTGAATACAACACTGAAACAATTGCAGTAAGGAAGGTGATGAATCTGTGTTGTATTGTGAGGGTAGAAGTGTACAGTGTAGTGATAAAGATGAGCATGCCAGTCACAGTGTGATCCTGAGTACTGTATCCTTTCGTAACAATCAATGTAACAACAGTCGTAGGGTTAACTCGCAACATCTTTCTTTCCATATTCATTATAAATAATCTTCAATGAATTACTTTCCTTCAATCATACAACGTAAGCTCCTCGTTCCGGACAGTCCAACTGTGTCTTGTCATATCTGCTTTTATTGCAGATTTTTCCTTTTATTGATTATTATACTTACAGACAGCACGTGTGCTGCCTCACATCTCTGTGGCTTACTGCACGTGTGCTTCCTCACATCCCTGTGGCTTACTGCACGTGTGCTTCCTCACATCCCTGTGGCTTACTGCACGTGTGCTTCCTCACATCCCTGTGGCTTACTGCACGTGTGCTGCCTCACATCCCTGTGGCTTACTGCACGTGTGCTGCCTCACATCTCTGTGGCTTACTGCACGTGTGCTTCCTCACATCTGGAACGTTGGACTGTCGGAAAGCCTTTGACACAGTACCCCATAAGAGGCTGATGCAAAGCTGGAGAGACAGGCTGGAGTGACTGGTAAGGTGCTTCAGTGGATAAGGGAGTACCTAAGCAATAGGAAGCAGAGAGTTACAGTGAGGGGTGAGATCTCAGATTGGCGTGAAGTCACCAGTGGAGTCCCACAGGGCTCAGTACTCAGACCTATCCTGTTTCTGATATACGTAAATTATCTCACAGAGGGTATAGACTCATTCTTCTCAATGTTTGCTGACGACGGCAAAATTATGAGAAGAATTAAGACATTTGAGGACAGATGAGGACTACTTGAGGCTTCAAGAAGACCTGGACAAACTGAAGGAATGGTCGAACAAATTGTTGTTAAGAGTTAAATTGAACCCAAGCAAGTGTAATGTAATGAAGATAGGTGTAGGGAGCAGGAGGCCAGATACAAGGTATCGTTTGGGAGATGAAATCCTTCAAGAGTTAGAGGAGAGAGAAAGACTTGGGGGTTGATATCACGTCAGACCTGTTCTCTGAAGCCCATATCAAGAGGATAACATCAGCAGCATATGCCAGGTTGGCCAACAACGGCCTTTAGAAACTTGCATAAGGAATCATTCAGAACTTTGTATACCACATGTCAGGCCAATCCTGGAGTTTGCGGCTCAGCATGGAGTTCATATCTAGTCAAGCATAAGACTAAACTGAAAAGGTTCAAAGATTTGCCACCAGACTAGTACCTGAACTGAGGGGTATGAGCTACGAGAAGAAACTACGGGAATTAAACCTTATGTCGCTGGAAGACAGAAGAGTTAGGGGCGGACATCATCATCACATACAAGATTCTCAAAGGAATTGATATAGGGTAGATAAAGACAGACTATTAACACAAGGGCACACGCACTAGGGGACACAGGTGGAAATTGGATGCCCAAATGAGCTATAGAGATATTAGAAAGAACTTTTTAGTGTCAGAATAGTTGACAAATGGAATGTATTAGGAAGTGAGGTAGTGGAGGCAGACTCCATACACAGTTTTAAGTGTAGATATGATAGAACCCAGTAGGCTCAGGAACCTGTACATCAGTTGATTGACAGTTGAGATGTGGGACCAAAGAGTCAGAGCTCAACCCCTCACAAGCACAACTAGGTGAGTACATCCCTGTGGCTTACATCACGATTGCTTCTTCACATCCCTGTAGCTTGTAACATGGTTCTCTGGTGATACAAGTCTTCCTTGCAAGTTTGACTTGTGTTCAGTCTCGTAGTGAAGGCTTTTGTGTATAAATCAGTCAAAAGCCTTTTGTTTACTTAAAATATTGGCATATTCTTTTAGTGTATTCATTTCTTTCGTGTATTACTTCAGTCAGTCTGGCATAGAAGCTCAGCAGGTGCCATACACCTGACTTCTCTGTCATGAATAAAAAGTGTTTATTGGTTATCATGTTCTTGCTCTCCAGATGGTCTACAGCCTGACTACCTTCTCTGGCTTCTTTGGTACCGTGTACACCACTGATTCTGTCAGTAGGCGAGAAAAACCTCTTGGCCTCAGTGTTTACAAGAAGGAACTATATTGGTCATTTTCAAAGAACTGCCTTTTTAACCACATTAAGTGTGTGTGTGTGTGTGTGCGTGAGTACGTGTATGTATACATATATTTGTGCGTATGTGTCATGTGTATGCGTTTTTACTGATACGAGTAGTGATGTATGTGTGTGCACATGTGAATGAAGGAGGGAGTAATAAAAGCAAACTAATAATAATATTTCATTATATTGAGCTGAAGAGTGAAAATGAGAATAAGAGTGACTCATTTTGAGTGACGAAACTGAGAGTGACTGACCACAGCAGCTCCCGCATGAGGGCCTCCTCCTCCTGGGACATCTGGACAGGGAGGAGAGCGCGCACCTTGCTCAGACACAGCCACAGTGTCTCCACGTCCTTCTTGGTGGTGCTGCTGATGACGTACGTCTTCTCCAGGGCCGCCATCATCTCACCAATACTGTTGTACTGCCGCAGCAGCAGACTGCCGGGAAGGAAGGGCTATGTCTACCAGCTAAATGACCAACACATTTATTGTCATTGAAATATTTCGAAGGTAATGCTCCATCATCAGTGCTGTAAAAGGTATCAATTTATTCAACAGTAACCAGCCCTATTTATTGAATAAGCTTCAATATTTTGATGACTAGTGGATACGCGTTTAAAATTGAACTGCTGGTGTTATGTTAACGAAATTCTTTGGGAATACAGAGCACTCTTAAGATAGTATATGTTAATATCATTTAAGACTAGAAATGTTATGGCTGGATGAAAATTTAGCATTTACAAATTACTTACAATGTTATGAAATATTTTGCCTGATAAACAATTAAATTTAAAAAAAAATCCAGAAAATTAATTTCGACATTAAGGAGTGGAAGCTATTACTACATTATCTATCTGTGAGTAGAATTTACCATTAAATATACCGATTCTGAAGTTGAAATCTCCAAGAACTGTTTCCAAGTTACTGTCTATTTAGATCAAAATTACACTCATCTTCTTGTCAGATCTTCACAACCAATTGTAACTTTTCCTTAGTGGGATAACAGTTAGACACAGTAACATGTACACTACCCATAACTTCAGAATGATTAACCTTTAAAGCAACAATTTATGTACCAAACTGTGACGATTATTAACATTATATTTGTTTTCAGTGAAAGAGGTTATAAGTGGCACCAAACAAATTGATATTTAATAATTAAAAGTTACTAGAATATAAATTATTGGTCTAATAGAAAAGCCTTGTGTATGACTCTTAAGGAACACAATAACACTATCGGTTTCTAATTTAATTATCATCATACACACCAAACTTGTTTTATTAGATATGTTCATGCAAATATTTTACGCTTGTGATACGAAAATGTTCTTATATTTCAATTATTGTCATAGGAATGCGTGCTTAGGAGTGGTGCGCCGTGATGCGCATGAGCACGCGCGCACACTGCGGTGCGGTGGGCGCTCTTGCCTCATCTTCACGAAAATAAAACAGAAAATGTTAACATTTCGATATTGAATTTCCTCATTTACCCAATGATGTAAAGAATGATAGCAGCCATTACTTTACATTCATGAACGCGCTTTGTAAGTCATGTACTTATGCAGTGGCCCTTCAAAATCTAAATCCTCTTGTTCTAAGCCATATCCAAAATTAGAAAAAAAATCCAGATTTCCGACTAATTGCCTGATTTTTGCTTTTTATCTCAATGTATTTTACAGTTTTCTTACATCAAATAATACAACAGATGCTTCTACTTGTTCACACACAAATAATATATAAACGATGACTCTTTTAAACAAAGTAAATGTTTTAAAAAATACAAAATATATATTTTTAGTTGTTTTTTGTAGCAGAGAAACTTTCATCTTGGTAATAATCCTTTGAGTGTAAAATACAATTACATCGCTGAGCAGTGCGCTACTAACTAGTATACCAGTAGTCTCACCCCCATACTGCAATTACACAGTTAACATTTTCTATAAATAAATTTCAATGCTAGTAGAATAGCAGAAGGCTGATGCGTTAACTACTGATAACTAGCACCATGCAAATATGGTCTCAAATATGGTGATGGTGTTAAGGTATGTCTGTTAGAACTCTTACGATCACTGCTCATCCTGTCGCAAACAACATGATCTATTTTGTGTTTATGTTAGCCAAACACAGTACTTGTGCTAATGCTCGTGTGTCAGCCGCATCCCTTCCCAATCATCAAGTTGTTATATTAACGCAGCCTTCGTTAGCTTGGTAAGGGAGCTCCTCTTATCCTTTATAGCCTCCTCGTCCCCCATCAACATTCCCTTCAAGAATTTCAACTCTATATCTTTCTTCCTCCCCACCCGCCTTTTCCTAGCTCTTTGAATATTGAATTCGAATTCTCCTTTACCCGATGCACCGTTGGGACTCCTGCCGGAGGATTCGGTCACTTAAATACTTTACTACCACAGGCTGAGTCCAGGCAACACAAGGGTAACACACGGTCGGAACACAAGCACGCACAGTAAGGCTACGGTGCTCACAGAAAAAGTAACATAAATCAAGCACTTTATGGTATAGTATAATACAATTAATGATACAATATAAGCACATTAAAACACTTCTCTAGAAAAAATACATTATATAATTATATACAGGAGGTAATATATTATTTTATATAATGTTTAGCATTTAAAAACCAAGAATAACAAAAATAGGAAACAAATACGATCTGCTGAATATTACTGTACGGAACAATTGTGGTGTAATAACCTACGAAAAATCTGAATTTTCCATTACTGATCCAGTCTCAAAATCGGATTATTATTAAGATGAATCAGTTTTATGGTGAAATGTATTTTTTGACTAACCTGAACATCTCCCTAATGAGAACTGGAGTTTCGATAAAAGATTCGCTGGCCCAGCGAACGATAGTTTCAACAAGGACCTTCTTGAACTTATCGGCGGCATCCAGCACCTCAGGTTCAGGAGCAGGTTCCTCATCCACTTCCTCTTTAACACCTCCCAGAATGCCCAGGAATTTGGACATGACTCCTGTGGAGTCAGCTGTTGTAGTCTCCTGTGGGGTAGAGATACACGTGGACACAAACTCTTTCACAGAGGAACTTGCACCGAGACAGTGTTATGAAACTCTTGGCTTAATATTTGAATAAATACACTATACAAAAGAAAGCATCTTAACTGACCTAAAATTCCAACTAATGTAGTTCACAGATGTCCAGCCAACAAATGAAGATAAATCTGTCCGGTGTAGTTCTATGTGAAGAATAAGCACTAATCCTAAACATTACCGCATAAACATTACCATGTAAAATTCCTTTCACCTGGACTGTATGGGTCTCGAACCGCGGACCCCCCACGGCCGTAGCATGGTTTTATTACCATGTAAACATTACCATATATACATTACCATGAAAAACATGATGATCTCAGTTTGTTGTAACAATTATTAATCGAAGAAACAAAGTTTGTCCTGTTAATGGTCCACAACAGACTGGAACATTGTGTAGTCTTATCTCATAATGTTTATGTTTAGTATACTTTATCCAGCAAGTTATCGTGGCATTTATTCATCTGGGTCATAATGATTATTATTCCTTGAATAGATTTTCACACTACGTGTATTAACAATGTAGTGATGAACCCTTTATATACAATGTATCCATGCAACCAGAAGCTTCCTATCTGTCACACTTCCTTAACAAAAATTATTGTATCTCATAATAGAAATAGTCAGATATTGAACATTATCACAAAATATGAAAGACACGAATACCAACCTCAGAGTCAGTATCCTGCTCTTTTCCACCCGGTATCTTAGTCTTGGCCATCAGTTTATCATGGAAGTCTTGCATCTGTTTCCTCAGGTCTTCTCCACATGGGGTCTCCTCCAGCTCCTCTTCGGAGAGGTTTTTGAAACCCAAAATTGTGTGTGTGTGTGTGTGTGTGTGTGTGTGTGTGTGTGTGTGTGTGTGTGGGTGTGTGGGTGTGTGGGTGTGTGTGTGTGTGTGTGTGTGTGTGTGTGTGTGTGTGTGTGTGTGTGTGTGTGTGTGTGTGTGTGTGTGTGTGTGTGTGTGTGTGTGTGTGTGTGTGTGTGTAATTACCTAAGTGTAATTACCTAAGTGTAGTTACAGGATGAGAGCTACGCTCGTGGAGTCCCGTCTTCCCAGCACTCTTTGTCATATAACGCTTTGAAACTACTGACGGTCTTGGCCTCCACCACCTTCTCACTTAACTTGTTCCAACCGTCTACCACTCTATTTGCGAAGGTGAATTTTCTTATATTTCTTCGGCATCTGTGTTTAGCTAGTTTAAATCTATGGCCTCTTGTTCTTGAAGTTCCAGGTCTCAGGAAGTCTTCCCTGTCGATTTTATCAATTCCTGTTACTATTTTGTACGTAGTGATCATATCACCTCTTTTTCTTCTGTCTTCTAGTTTTGGCATATTTAATGCTTCTAACCTCTTCTCGTAGCTCTTGCCCTTCAGTTCTGGGAGCCACTTAGTAGCATGTCTTTGCACCTTTTCCAGTTTGTTGATGTGCTTCTTAAGATATGGGCACCACACAACAGCTGCATATTCTAGCTTTGGCCTAACAAAAGTCATGAACAACTTCTTTAGTATATCGCCATCCATGTATTTAAATGCAATTCTGAAGTTAGAAAGCATTGCATAGGCTCCTTGCACAATATTCTTAATGTGGTCCTCAGGTGATAGTTTTCTATCTAGAACCACTCCTAGATCTCTTTCTTTATCAGAATTCTTTAAAGATTTCTCACATAATATATAGGTTGTGTGGGGTCTATGTTCTCCTATTCCACATTCCATAACATGACATTTATTAACATTAAATTCCATTTGCCAAGTGGTGCTCCATATACTTATTTTGTCCAGGTCTTCTTGAAGGGCATGACAATCATCTAAATTTCTTATCCTTCCTATTATCTTAGCATCATCAGCAAACATGTTCATATAATTCTGTATACCAACTGGTAGATCATTTATGTACACAATAAACATCACTGGTGCAAGAACTGAACCCTGTGGTACTCCACTTGTGACATTTCTCCATTCCGATACATTGCCTCTGATTACTGCCCTCATTTTTCTATCAGTCAGAAAATTTTTCATCCATGATAGAAGCTTACCTGTCACCCCTCCAATATTTTCCAGTTTCCAGAACAACCTCTTATGTGGAACTCTGTCGAAAGCCTTTTTTAGGTCCAGATAGATGCAGTCAACCCAGCCATCTCTTTCCTGTAATATCTCTGTGGCCCGATCATAGAAACTGAGTAAATTCGATACACAGGATCTTCCTGATCGAAAACCATACTGTCTGTCTGATATTATATCATTTCTCTCCAGGTGTTCTACCCATTTAGTTTTGATTAGCTTTTCCAATACTTTCACTATTACACTTGTCAATGATACAGGTCTATAATTGAGGGGGTCTTCCCTGCTGCCACTTTTGTAGATTGGAACTATGTTAGCCTGTTTCCACATGTCTGCTACGATTCCTGTACACAGGGATGCCTGAAAGATCAGGTGAAGTGGAATGCTGAGCTCAGATGCACATTCTCTCAGAACCCATGGTGAAACGCCATCTGGGCCAGCTGCTTTGTTCCTCCCGAGCTCCTTGAGCATTTTTTCCACTTCGTCTCTAGACACCTCTATGTGTTCTATGTTGTTCTCTGGAATTCTTATTGTATCTGGTTCCCTAAAGATTTCATTTTGTACAAACACACTTTGGAACTTTTCGTTTAGTGTTTCACACATTTCCTTTTCATCTTCCGTGAATCTATTTCCCATTTTCAACCTCTGAATATTATCCTTTACCTGCAATTTGTTGTTTATGAATTTATAGAATAGACCTGGTTCTGTTTTACATTTGTCCGCAATCCCTTTTTCAAAATTTCTTTCTGCCTCTCTCCTCACTGCCGTGTAGTTGTTTCTCGCATCTTTGTATCGCTGGTATGTTTGGGGGTTCGGCCTCTTCCTGTATTGATTCCATTTTTGTGTCTTTCGGTCTCTAGCCCTCTCGCAATTTCTATTGAACCAATCCTGTTTCCTAGTTCTGCATCTCTGTTTTGGTATAAATTTTTTTGTGCCTTTATCATATATTTCACAAAACTTGCCATACATCTCATTCACTTCCTTGCCTAGCATCAAGTCTGTCCAATTATACTCACTAAAAAAATTTCTAAGGTCACCATAATGTCCTCTCCTGAAGTCTGGTTTTTCAACTGCTTCAACCTCCTTATTTTCTTCCAGCTTATAACGCATTGCATACTTTATTCCCAAAAAGACATGGTCACTTTTACCCAAGGGAGGAAGGTACTGAATGTCAAATATCTCTTCTTCCTTCCTGGTAAATATCAAATCTAGCATGGAGGGAACGTCTCCTTCCCTCATCCTCGTAGCTTGTTTAACATGTTGATACAAGAATGTTTCCAGGATGAGGTCTACAAATTTACAGGTCCAAAAATCTTCTGTTTTAGCTTCATATGCTTCCCAGTCTATGGATTTCAAGTTGAAGTCACCGACTATCAACAGTCGTGATCTATCGTTATCCGCTCTCGCTATAATCTCTCTCATTATTGTTATAAGACCTTCACGTTTACTATCTAGCTCCTCCTTTGACCATGTGCTGCTTGGCGGTGGACTATATGCATTTATCATCATTAGTTTATCATCCTCATAGCAGATCTCTAGTGCTATTATGTCAACTTCTTGTGGATTGGCAGTCATTATTTCCTTCACCTTTAGGTGTTCTTTTACCAGCACAGCAACGCCACCGCCTTTCCTAATTTTTCTGTCCCGTCTCCAAATTGAGTAGCCCCTTGGGAATATGACCTCATTTAAAATTACATCTTCAAGTTTTGTCTCCGTGAGTGCAACAATGTCTGGTGTCTGCAGCTGTATTACATCACTTAACTCCAGTATCTTCGATCTCACTCCATCTATGTTGGTGTATGCAATCTTCAGGAACTTGTTCCCCCTCTCCTTATTCTTCACTCCCCCTCTCTCTATTGATTTTGTTGGTTTGCCTTTATGTACCACTTTACTGGTTTGCCTACCCCTATCACTTTGTAGAAAAAAGAATTTATTTCTTCTTCATTCCTGCTCTCATTTAAATGTTTTGCCTCGGCGAGGTTCAGTTTCAGCTTCTCTCTATCTTCTTTTGAAAGATCTCGTCTTAACGACCACCCTTTCCCATACTCATCCCTTTGCAATTTTCTAGCATTCCTTAGTACTTCTTCCATCTGTTTGGCACCGTTTAGGGTGATCCTCAAAGGTCGATCTTTCCCTTTTACGTACCTGCCTATTCTCCTGTAGTCGCACACATTCTCTCTGTTTGTAAGACCTTCCACGAGGCCAACAATTTTATCTACTACTTTAGCTTCTTCTACAGCTCTTTCTGACCTAGATGTTATCGCCTTTTCTTTGCAGCCAAAAATGATCAGGGACTTACTCCGATCAACTGTGTTTTGCACCAACTTCGGGTTAGATGCCAATTCTTTCCTCACTTCTAGCCTAATGTTTGTTTTATCTTGGTTGCTGCAGTGTTTGACTTCCTTTTGTGTGGGTGTTGTTCTCATTCTCATGGTGGAGAGAGTGTTCTCACTCTCATGGTGAGAAGAGTGCTCTCACTCTCATGGTGGGGAGAGTGTTCTAACTCTCATGGTGGGGAGAGTGCTCTCACTCTCATGGTGGGGAGAGTGCTCTCACTCTCATGGTGGGGCGAGTGCTCTCACTCTCATGGTGGGGAGAGTGTTCTCACTCTCATGGTGAGGAGAGTGCTCTCACTCTCATGGTGGGGAGAGTGTTCTCACTCTCATGGTGGGGAGTGCTCTCACTCTCATGGTGGGGAGTGCTCTCACTCTCATGGTGGGCAGAGTGCTCTCACTCTCATGGTGGGTAGAGTGTCTCACTCTCATGGTGGGTAGAGTGCTCTCACTCTCATGGTGGGTAGAGTGTTCTCACTCTCATGGTGGGTAGAGTGTTCTCACTCTCATGGTGGGTAGAGTGTTCTCACTCTCATGGTGGGTAGAGTGTTCTCACTCTCATGGTGGGTAGAGTGTTCTCACTCTCATGGTGGGGAGAGTGCTCTCACTCTCATGGTGGGGAGAGTGCTCTCACTCTCATGGTGGGTAGAGTGCTCTCACTCTCATGGTGGGTAGAGTGTTCTCACTCTCATGGTGGGTAGAGTGTTCTCACTCTCATGGTGGGTAGAGTGTTCTCACTCTCATGGTGGGGAGAGTGTTCTCACTCTCATGGTGGGTAGAGTGTTCTCACTCTCATGGTGGGTAGAGTGTTCTCACTCTCATGGTGGGTAGTGTTCTCACTCTCATGGTGGGTAGAGTGTTCTCACTCTCATGGTGGGTAGTGTACTCACTCTCATGGTGGGTAGAGTGTTCCCAGTCTCATGGTGGGTAGAGTGTTCTCACTCTCATGGTGGGTAGTGTTCTCACTCTCATGGTGAGGAGAGTGCTCTCACTCTCATGGTGGGGAGAGTGCTCTCACTCTCATGGTGGGGAGAGTGCTCTCACTCTTATGGTGGGCAGAGTGCTCTCACACTCATGGTGGGCAGAGTGCTCTCACACTCATGGTGGGTAGAGTGTTCTCACTCTCATGGTGGGTAGAGTGTTCCCAGTCTCATGGTGGGTAGAGTGTTCTCACTCTCATGGTGGGGAGAGTGTTCTCACTCTCATGGTGGGTAGTGTTCTCACTCTCATGGTGAGGAGAGTGCTCTCACTCTCATGGTGGGGAGAGTGCTCTCACTCTCATGGTGGGGAGAGTGCTCTCACTCTTATGGTGGGCAGAGTGCTCTCACACTCATGGTGGGTAGAGTGTTCTCAGTCTCATGGTGGGTAGTGTGTCTCACTCTCATGGTAGGGAGAGTGTTCTCACTCTCATGGTGGCTAGA